TAAAACTATAAACCTCACCTCACATTTCAGTCATTTTTTAAGAAAAATTGTGTCAAAATGATAAATAATTATATATTACTTTTTAAATTCTTGTTGTATCGACCTAAACTTTACAAATGCGTGGAACATTTTCTTAATTTAATTAAGTTCATTTAACTTTTTTTTTTTTAATTTAGAAACATAATTTACCTCAGAATTGAATTCATTTTACTGCATGTGGCTCTAATTAGCAATTAGCTCAAAGCCGTCCTGACACGTCCAGCCTGTGGCTTTCCAACACCTTTGGCAGTAGCACAGCAAAACCGTGTTTCATAGAGAAGATGGAAGACAATCAATTCCCCAGAAGAACTGAGGACAAAACACACCCTTCTCTGTGAATGTTCCTCTGACAGCTACTCAGCCACGACATCGTATTTCCACTCCAGAATCAGCACTTAAAACCCACAGAACTGTTTTCACCTCCTTCACCACATTCAAACGCACAAATCCTGAACTCTGTGAACTACTTGTATTTTCTCCAAGAGAGCTCCTCTGATCTTCTGGCTTAACAGTTTTCTGCCACCTTCTCAAGTGGTTCTGTTCCATCAGAATCAATCAGCAATTTTTTTCCTGGCTAAAATATGTTTTAAATATATGCTAAAAATATTTTGTAAACAGTGATGCTCAGTACAATATATTTTTGAAATGCAAATGTAGATGCAAACGTGAATGTTTTGGAATAGCTTATTAGAGATCAAAAAGATTTATAATTATTTAATAATGTTTATTTACATATCTATACTGTAATTTTTTGGGAACATTGTGAAGTATGTTCCTTGCTGATTTCTATTTAAGTGTGTTGTATGGTCATTAGTTTTAGACAACAAATAAAGTTTTTATTTGGATTGAAATTCAGATTCCGTCATATGTCATAATGATGCCGCAATTCACATCTCATACATCTCAGAAACTATCTTTACATGTCCATTCTAATGCCTCTTTGGTAAAAATGTTTATATTTTCATTAAAGGGGTCGTATGATGCCGGATCGGCTTTCACCGTGGACGAAGCGGAGTCCAGCCCGGGGTCGTCACATGTGGTTGCAGCAAGCCCGCCGGCCGCTCCTTCGTCGAATCCGCTGGCCGCGCCGTTCTCAAGACCGCAGGTCTCTGCTCACTCTAGCCCACCGTGTGTGATGCTGTGTTTCGTTGTGAAAGCGAAACTACTTATGTTGGCCTTCCAAAAGAGGACACGACTAGAAAACAGTGGTTAAGTTGTATTTACAACACTGTTCCAGAACAGTTCAACCCAAATATTCAGAT